ACTCCTCATGCTATCACCAAGCAGCACCAAGAGAAACCTTCAAATGCAACCTGGGAACATTTGCGTAAACGTCTTACAATTCACCCCGAAGCCACCCAGGCCAAGCAGCACACCGTCAAAGACTACCCTGCCTTCTGCAGGGCCCCAAAACCCTCAAAGAGAAGAATGAGTCAACCGATGAGTCAGAGAGGAAGGCTCATGTTAAGAGACAGATCCAGTTATCAAACAAAGCTGACATCCTGTGGAAGCCGGGCTGCGCTGATAAAACAGTGGGGCTGCAAAAGGAGTTGCTTAAAAAAACCCACAGAAGGATCAATTCCTCCCACGGTACTTGCGTGAGAGCGGCCTGAAGCCTATAAACAGCAGATATAACAAGCCCTGCATGGAGTTGCACAGTCAGTCATGGATTGTGAGGCGCGACAGCTGTGGGCAAACAGTGGAAATGGGCTGGACACACAGGTCACACTTAAGCCAAAATGTGACTTGTTTGTTGCAGACTTAATGAGAGGGTGGCCAGCTTCTTGGTTGCCCAAATGCCACACAGGATATACTGGTGACGTAACATGAGTAGGACTATGTGATGCACAAGGGAAGGAGGGGGAGGGGGAGGGTGTGCAGTGAGGGTAGGGCTCATTTACTTAAACTGAGTTAGGTCTATTTTGGGCATAAATTCCGCTATGCATGGACTCAGAATTAAAGGAATTGATTCAAAGTCACGATCCCTTGGAACTAAAGGCTGATTCCTTAAAACTTTTCTTGTTTTGCAGAACCAACCATTTGTGGTTTATTCTGCAAATGAAGGGTAGTGTAATGTGTAAATCTCAACTTTCTCTGGCCATCAGTTGGAGGAAAGGCAACATTGGGGGTGTAGAAGAAAGATACGTGGATTGATGGAAAGACAGAAGAAAGAAAGAAGGAAGGAAGGAAGGAAGGAAGGAAGGAAGGAAGGAAGGAAGGAAGGAAGGAAGGAAGGAAGGAAAGAAAGAAAGAAAGAAAGAAAGAAAGAAAGAAAGAAAGAAAGAAAGAAAGAAAGAGCGAAAGAAAGAAAGAAAGAAAGAAAGAAAGAGAGAAAGCAAAAGAAAGAGAGAGAAAGCGAAAGAAAGAAAGAAAGAAAGAAAGAAAGAAAGAAAGAAAGAAAGAA